CAGGTATGGCCCTGGCAGTGTAAGCAGAAGAGTTACCGCTTCAGGGGGACTTGGCTGCCCTCAGGCCTTTTGCTGTCCCTTTACATCCCAGCTGCCCACACCAAGGCTGTGGTGGGCAGACAGAGGAGCACGAAATCCCCCCAGGTGCTACCAGGTGCTCAGGCAGAGACTGGCCTCTTACGAGAGCCCTGGACTCAGGCTAATAAAATGAAGCTAAAGGAGCATAGTGCTGCTGTAGCCCTGCAGAAGAGGATGTACGTATGGGCAGATATATTTTTTTTCACTGAGAGGTAATTTCATCTACCCCCCCATATAAACTGTGAAAGAAATGTTGCTAAAACTGATGAGAATTGGGCATTCTTTGCAGGAATCACTAATGATTTTTTTTCAACAAAATCCTCATTAAACATCATAAATGGGCTGCTTTCAAAAATTGCTCTGATTATGTCATCATGGAATGAAAAACGAAGTTAGATAAAGCATGTTCTTAATAAAATATTCTTGATTTTGAAATGGTGAAACCAATCAAGCTAAACTAACTGATCAATAACACTTCATCAGTCAAGACTTCAGAGAGTCTTAAATATAGAGATGGAAAGGAAATGCATGGAAGATATTTGGAAATTACACATCAGACAAAGAAAACAGAAGAGACTTGGGTCGAATGGGATGAACATCAACAGCAGAAAGAATCCATGAACGTACAAGGACAGAAAATGAGAACAGCATAGAAAGTAAAAGAAAATATCAAAACTGCTTTAAGACAGGTTGAGTCAGTTTTTGCCAGATGCATGAAAACTAGTAAAAAAAAGGGTTTATCCTTTAAAGAAAAAAAAGAGAAAAGTGGGACCAGTATGCAGTGAGGCAAGAATACAAATATAATCTACTGACTGTGCAAAATTAAATGAAACTTTTGTCTTGGTCTTGGAGGAAAATGAAGCTAAACAACTGAGTGAATGCAGGATGCTAACGGCAAAGAGGAAATAAAAATGGACAGATGCAAGGGAGAAACAAAACTCGAAACCTTAATTTCCTTCGGTCAGGTGGACTGGATTATCTTCATGCAGGATTTCCGAAAGAAGTAGCAAAAAAATCAGTATTCCAATGTCAATCATTTAAAATGAAGTTATCAAGGTGTTATCAAATTACCTATCTGTACTCAAGAAAGGGAAAAAGTGATGCAGCCTGCATTATATAACCCATTAGTCTTATTTCAGCAATTTTTTGGAATTATGTTATAGAGTTATTGAAGACGTAGAAGAGTGTGCATTTGTTAGGTACTATAAACTCTAAATTTTCATGGCCTTTTTTTGCAATCTCTTTCACAAATTGACTAATTTGCTAGGCTGTGAAGCTGTTGGATTGTGCCTCATGAGACACAAGATTAGTTGGACAGAAGGGGATGTAGCAGACAGGTAAGGAACTGAATAAAAGGACAGTGACACAGGCAGTACTGGAGAGGCAAATAATAACCTACAAGAAGGATGTTGATAGGATGCACTTCAGGAATGATTCTGGTTTGGTTTTTTTATGATAGCCTTGATTAAAATGAATGGTAGGAAGAAGTTGTATTTGCATCCCAGACATTTCATTCCCTGCCTCTCTTTGCAGCTTGAGAATAAAATCAACTTTGAAAAACTTACGGAGTGGACCAGTCCCAATGTGATGGAAAAGAAGAGAGTGAAAGTGTACCTCCCGCGCATGAAGATAGATGAAAAATATAACCTCACATCTGTCTTAATGGCCTTGGGTATGACCGACCTGTTCAGTCCTTCGGCCAATCTGTCTGGCATCTCTTCAGCAAAGAGCCTGAAGATAACTGAGGCCATCCATGAAGCATACATGGAAGTCAATGAAGAGGGCACCGAGATGGCAGGCTCAGTGGAGTTGATGGGAGGCATCAAACATTCGTCTGAATTTGAAGAGTTTAGGGCTGACCACCCTTTCCTTTTCTTGATCAAACACAATCCAACCAACAGCATCCTCTTCTTTGGTAGATATTGTTCCCCTTAAAGAAAGAAAGAGCTGGCAATAATGCTTACCTTCCCCTCAGAAACAGACCCCCTTTACGATAACATTGTAGCGTAATCTCATCTCTTCAATATTTTCTCAAGTGGAAAGCCTAATCTAAGAAATGCCCATTTGGGAAGCTTCCATAGCAATGACATACCTGCAGGTGAGCAAACAGCAGCAAGCATGTTTACTCCTTTCCCTTCTCATACTGGTTTCAGGATTGCTTGAGCTGAGAAAGACTGAGCCAGCAGAGATTAGAGGCACCCGCCAGCCAGGAAGGGGCCAAGTGATTTTCACTCAAGGAACAAGTTGCAGGCATGACTCCAAGCCTTTGGGAGTCCATCACATAGAAAGGCATGGGCTGTGCTCATCCCATTCCCCGGTAGCATCCTGCTGACAAACCCATGTTGTTGTTCCTGAAACACGGGCTTTGAGATCTCCAGTCTGGAGGAGATGTTTGTGGATAAGATTCTGCTATGCAGGTTATTGACTGGTGCCCATGTAAATTTTAATTTTTTTTACTTAGCTGTTGGGAAATGGTATACATGTCCACTCTCACCAGAGTTGTCCTCTCACCATGAGTTCCTCACCTAATTCTGAATTTCTTGCAGAGGTTCTCCAAAGTCATGGAGAGTCTCCCTTCCACTTCAGAGAGCGCAAAGGGATCTAACTTTGTGTAGGTGCAGTTATGCCTTCTCACAGAGTGTAGATTCAAAGCCTGAAACATGGATATCTGGATGATCCGGATGATCCAGATGATCCAGAACTCAGTGAGAACCACCAGCCAAAAGAACTGTCTAAATGCTTGTTTAAAACATTGGAAGACACTTCAAATTTGAGAACATTTTGATTTTTGAGAAAAATCCTGCAAGTGGTATTAAAGAGTCTGATTTCTCCATGGGAGTTTTGTGAAAAAACACAGCTTTCAAAATAGTCCCTGTCTCTATTGAGCTTGCTTAGCAAGTAAACTTCAATTAGTCCCTGGAAAGCCCTCAGGTGAAGTTCAAAATTCGAGTACATTATTCTTCCATGAATGCAGCTGGGCTTTGTTCCTATGATAGTTCAAGGCTACATCTCTTGTTTTTAAGAAGTACATGAGAATCCTAATATTCTCTGTCTTTTTCTTCCTATGTGTCCATTGCCATCTGCAAATACGGATATATTGGCTCAATACTATGTCCTGTTTTCATTCTAATCATACATTATTGATTTTGATGCATATAATTGATTTTTTTTGTTAACATAATAAAAGAAAACCACAACTGCTTGTCATGAGAATTATATTAGTTTTCTGGACCACAAACCATTAAAAATAGCATTACATTGATAACTGTTGTGAGTAAAATGGGATTTAGTACAAAATCCTATTTTTAGAATGAATGAAGCATGTAGATATGAAGTTTCCTAGGCATTTATGAAATGTATAAATGCATACATCTAGAGTTTGATTCCTCTCTGTATTACAGATTACCAAGAAATAGCCCAATAGAATACTAACTTATTCTTATGTATTTTTCAATACAATTCCAATGGGTATTAAAGATGCATTGACAATTAGTCTGGTAAATATTTCAAGGAACAACTATTCCACCAGCTCTGCCACTTTAGATGATTAAATCATCTGAAAATCATATAACTCAAAAGGCATAAGAAAGAATAAGCAGATCAACAACTATTAGGCAAAGCATTTCCCCACTGAGAGTCTTGAGAGGAGGAACTTTGTCACTAGTATTGGCTATTTCCACATTAGCACATAGTGTGGTATGATAAAAGCAGATCTGTAGAGGAAAGCAGGTGGTGCTACAGGTCTGACATCCACATTATTTGAGTATCACCAGGATATTTGTGATACAGACTCAGCTGTTTTTCGTTGGTAAACCCAGCTATTTTACCAAGTATACTTTAATTTTTGTTCTTTAGAAATGAAAGCAGTGATATGAACAGTTCCAGCAGATGCAAAATTTCAACATCTCAAGGTTTATCTTAAGCAGTTTATTCACCTTTTGCATCTCTTGTAGCCAGAAGCAGTTGATCCAGTCTGTTAAATTTAAAAGCCCGTACACTTAAACAATAAGAAGGCTTGAAAAGGGTTAAATTTGCAAACTAGTCTTCCTGTGATTATTAAACTGGAAAGTGCTTAAAGTACAAAGATATGCCTTGGTGACCAACTTTGTTTCCTGAATGACAACAAAGGTCAAAATGAAGGAATGGGAAAAAAGCAAAGGAGCCATGAGGCTTACAAGCAAGTACAAAGCTTCCCCTTTCTCAAAAAAGAATACAGGAGGCAGCAAAAAGTGCAAATTCAGCAATACTGAATACTGACCAAACCTGCAACAAAGTACCAACAGCTAGGACCTGGCCCTGGCCACCACAGACCAGGTAGGAGGCACAATATTTAAAGGGCAGTGGAAAAGTATTCCCCATGAAGGGGGTGGCAGACCTGGCCGGTGGGATGATGAATGCCTGCTGTGGCCTCTGAGCTCTCCAAAACCCTGGGGAGATTTGGGAGAAGCAGCCCTTCCTGTGCCCCAGAGAGACGAGGTCTGTGGTTCAGCCTCTCTGTGCTCTTGCCCACCAAGCAAGCATGCAGTGGAAAGGTGCAGGTGCTCCAGGAGCATGGCTGGACCCGGAGCTCTGCCTGAGCACCTCTGCGCTTTCACCTGGCAGGTTTCATTTCCCAGGCACGGTTCTGGTTCTCATGCCAATAGGCAGCTGAGCATATTTGCTTTAAAAAAAAAATGGCCAAAATTTTAGCAATATTAAAATGCTCCAAAATTTTTTATTTGAAAAAAGACAAAAATAAATAAACCTTGAAAACTTCGTTGTTGCTACTGGCATTTTCGTCATAGCCTTCCAAAGGCTTCTGGCATTTTTGTTTTCTGAAGAATTGAGACCCTGTTTCCCTGACAGACTGCTATGCAGCACCAGACGGAAGGCTTGGCAGGTTACACAAGGGGGCAAGACAAAGCCTGAAACCTTCTGCACCTCTTGGTGCAACTAACACAACTCCCGAAAGCACGAAGAGAGGTCCAAGGGCCTCCCAATATGAGGCGATGTTGCTCCCCATACAACATGGAAACAGTACTCTTCTGTGGGACTTGCCATACACTCCCATTCTAAGTGCCTCATCTACACCACAGTACTTTCTTTGCACATTAATGTGCAATAACCCTGCTGTCTCCATCTCCTGTGAGATCTTCCTCTACAAATAACACAAAATCACGAAACAGATGAGATTGGAAGTGACCTCTGCCGATTATCTATTCCAAGCTCCCCGCTTCAAGCAGGGTCAGCTAAGCAGGTTGCTTGGGACCATGCCCTGCTGGGTTTTGAATATTTCCAAGGATGGAGACTCCACAGCCTCTTTGGGCAACCTGGCTTTACCTCCCTCCCCATAAGCAAATGTATTTTCTTATGTTTAAATGGAATTTATGCTATTTCAAGTTGTGCCTATTCCCTCTTGCTTGTTCACTGGAGAAGGTCTGGCTCCATCTTCTTTTCACCCTCCCATCAAGTTATGCACATGGATAAGATCGCTCCTGCACTTTCTCCTCTCCAGGGTAACAAGTCCCATCTTCTGAGCCTCTTCTCTCATGAAGATGCTTTAATCACTTCGTCATCTTTGTGGCTCTTCTTTGGTCCTGCTGCAGTACATCCACATCTCTTTTGTACCGGAAAGCCCAGAGCCGGACACATCGCTCCAGCTGTGGTCCCTCCAGCGCTGAGCAGAGGGGAAGGATAACTTCCCTTTACCTGCTGGCAATGCTTTTTCTAATGCAGCCCATGATGCTGTTGACTTTCTTTGCCACAAGGACACATTGCTGACTCATGGTCAACTTGGTGTCGCCAGGGCCCCCAGTTCTCTTCTGCAAAGCCAACATGATGGCATGGAGCTTTGTGCAGTGACATTTCTCCTTCTCTCCTTTTCTGCAGCAGTCTTTTCCTGCAGGGGAGGCAGGAATATTATTACGAATCTCAGTAGGCTACTAGTCAGAGGAGAGGAAGGCTTCATGGAAGGATATCTGAGTTGAAACAAACCAAGAGATTAGTTTATCCTCTTTTGTGCAAAAGAAAAATGTTATTTTTCCTGGGAGCATGTGCAAAGATAACTGGCATGCTGGGTAGCCTTCCAGTGAGCGGTGGGAGGTAAAGTGCCATGAGCAGTGCTAGTCACAGGCTGCCATGAACAATCTTCTCTGTGGGGAGGGACCTTGCTAACTAAGCTCCCATATGGCACAGCCAGTAAACTAGTTGCGCCAGCGCCAGTGGCCACCTGTCCTGCACCATGTGTATGCTGGGTGTAAGGGCCTGGCTACCATGCTGCCTCCTTAGGACCCAGTGAGGTAAGACCATCCACAGCCTCACCCTGGCTGTTGGCTGATCCCAGGGACTTGAGGAATGAATTAGCGACTCCATGTATGCTGTGGTGACTGATAAAGGGAGTGCTGTGTGTGCTGGTCCAGAACCTGTATAGTTGCAGACCCTGGACGCTGTGTGCGCTGCTAAGCAAATGCAGTGAGTAAGTGTGAGAGACTTGTGACCAAGGCTGTCATAGGCTCCTTCTGAAGATGCCTTCACTGGAGAAATCCACACCGCCAACACTGAGGTACGCACATCCCTGTCACAGTCTGTGAATGATCAAGGCAGCACTGCAGGCAACAATGTCCATTTCTTCAGAATGGCACAGCGCTGCCGCAGAAAGGTGCCAGGTGGGCTATAAGCTCCTGTCTGAAGGAGCTTGACCAGACACCTCATTTTCTTCAGACTGGGGAAAGAACACAGTCCTACAGGACAACTGAGAGAGAAATCATCACTGATAGTTACAGCACCAACATCTGCAATGGCAACTAACCGAACAATCACTGGCAGTCACTCTGAGCAAGGCAAACACGAAACAATCAACATGCTCTTTCCTACTGGTAAAAGAGCACCAGTGTGGATGAGAACAAAAGCTTGAGTTCTGCGTGTGTTGTTGTGATTGGCTGAGAGGCTTTGGTCTGTGAGCTGACCTGGACTTCATAGCCTTTTGGAAAGGCTCAAACGTCCAAGAGTCTGTTGGTTTAGGGACAGCTCCACAATGAGATGCGTGGCAGAGCAAAGGACAGCAGAGCCTTAGCTGACCTCTTTCTTGGGACAAGCATTGTCAAAACAAGAATATGTGGCAAAACACATCCTTTTGTATTTGTGCTGCATTACACAGCTGTGCTGGACAGGGCAATCCATTATCTTTTATCCCAGGACGCGTTTCAGTTACAGGAAGGTTTGCTTAATCTCACTAGACTCCATGACAGATCTAAAGTAGCCAAGTAGACTATGCACTGCCTCTTATAGTCTTACTATTCTGCACTGATGGCTGATCATGATCAAGATTTTTATTTACTTGTGGAATGATTTTGTTGCTTCTGCAACTTGCTTTACATTAATCATTCATTTGACCAATAAAAAATATAAATGTTAACAAAACCAGTAACTGGGTTGTGTATTAATCTGCTTCTGGAGGAGCGTACTGCTCCTTCTCTACTGCAAAACAAAAAATTCCTTTCATTATGAAATATATGAATATATTCAAGTCAGAAGTATTTTGAAAACCATGCCATTGCTAACAACATTAATGCTGCAAATTGGCTGTAATGAAACAACTGTACTGACTTACTGGACATCTTTGTGGCCACTAAGTTACAGGCTGTCTATGATGATCCAAATGTGATTCAGGTAGATGGTGCACAAATGCCAAGGTGAGCTGGAGCATATCGCTAGACAATTTGATTGTCAAGGAAAAAGATTTAAGGCATACTCAAAAGTTAGAAGTGACAAGGTAAAACATATTGGCTAATCCTTTGACTTCTGAGCTGTAAAGTGTACAACAATGGACCATGGCTGTGAGTGTTAAAGTCTGTTTGAACAGAAACAAAGCAGCCTTAAGCAGGAAAGGCAGAAGGGGCAGCAGCCGCAGGAACAGCTTGCAGCTTAGGGAGCACTCCCAGTTGTGTGATTAAAAGTATTCAATGTGTACAGACACAGACACGTTCACCTATTTGACCTGTCTTTCCACCAGCATGGTGATACCATTTTTAGCTAAACAGGACTCACAACAGTGGTGAACAATTTATGTACCGCTCCTGTGAGAGAACAGCTCATTCTCTTTACAATAGATTTGCAGTGATAGGCCACCAACGTGAGGCAAGGCCTAAAGACCTTTCCTCAAAAGCACTGTTGCTGCATAGCAATGGCTGTAGCAGACCAGCCTGGGCTACACACTGTGCCATGTAAAGTACTAGTGGCATCTAAGTGCACCAGTCCAGACTGAGCTCTTCATGGTTATTATTGCACTAGCATCTTCAGCTGAACTCGACTAGTAAGGACTGTATTAGGGAGAGAGGCATGGATGATTCAGAGGCTTTCCCCTTGTGTAGACAACTAAAAGGGTTAAAGAGTCCACCTCTTCTCTCCAGAAGCATAATTTGTTCTAGACAATTTCAGACGCATTTTGTGTATTGACTTTGGATTTCTGTTTTAAAATCACAGGGCATTTAGAGAGGTCAAAGCAGTTTCTTTTATTGTCTGTTCATTCTTTTATTTCAAAGGAATTATGCGACTGCTTTCTGCTTGCTATTGTATATTATGACTGTCCTGCAGACCATGAATGTTTCTTTAGCTCGTTTGTTCACCTGATGTGCAATGAAGTTACTTGTGGAAGATCTGTAAGAATGGTCTCTGTATGTACAAAAGGCACATTTTGAACCTAGCATCTGGTGCTGTGACCTGTGGAAAAGGAAGAGAACAACTCACCTTAAACTACTCTTCAAAATTTTAGCGGCGAGTTCAAATCCTTTTCTCGTAGCATCTGACAGGGATCTAAATATCCTGATGCGTGAATTTAAAAAGCAACAGAAGCCTTGTCTTTCTTCTCTGCTGAAATCTTCAGCTCTGTAATTCTTCTCTATATAGATGCTCTGAAATGAATTTGTATTCCAACAATATGCTCACTGAAGGTTTTGTTCCACTGATGTGCTGCGCAGATTCTGACTATGTCTGAGTTCCCTGAGCTCGATTGCTCTAGGATGAAGAACTGTGCTCTGTGAAACACTATGTCTGTGGTCTTTTACAGTGCGGGCTGTAAGTGGCACTGGGCAATTGCATACAAGTTTTTGCAGAATAATCTATCTCAATATTATTAAATTTGGCAACTAACTTTTGAAGGATGTGCTGTTTCTCAAGTTCCTTGGTAGCAGAAGTTTCTCCATTCCTCAGCAAGAGCTATGGATTCTGGTGGGAAGAAAGACTAGTGATATTGGTAGTCCAGCCAACAACGGGAGAGAGAAAAGTTGCAATAAGTATAGTGTGGGCATACCATAGCAAGCAGTCCTGCATATGTTGATCTTACCAAATTTTTTTAATTCACAGAATGGTGACTCTGAGAGGGATATGGTCTGTTAGTACTCATTACAGAGGAATAATAAGGAAATTAAGTCAAAATTCCTTAGAGACATTCTGCAAGACTGAATTTCTCACTTTTTTTGTTTTATTTTCACGAGCTATGCCATACTATTTGCTGCCATAACCAAATCATACTTACTATTCAAGTTCCAGTGAATAGCTTTTATCATTATTTTTGCTTCAGCCATTTCAATATGCTCCTTCCTTTTCTGCAAGGTTTCACATGCCATGAGGAATGAATCTTCCGTTCTGGAGATTTTAGGGTAAAACCCTTTCATTCAGGCTTTTTTTTTTTTTTTAAAGAATGGACTTATTCCAATTAAAAGTGCATGTCTGACATTGAGCTCCATCCATCACTTTATTTGATAAACACAGAATAGGCAGCGTGGGGCGTGTCACAAAATTACACATGATATATTCCAAGGAGTTTGGCAAGTCTGCCCCAAGTACAGCTGTGAAGCTGTACTATTACCTTCGTAGGTGAAGCTGATAAGGTAAGCATCTCTTTCGATTATGATTTAGGTTCAATTGAGTTGCAATTTAAAAAAAAATTATCTGTTACAAAATTTACAAGAAGATTGATGTAACCTCATGTTTATGACCTTCAATATCAGTTGAAGAAACAAATTATTAAAGGATGCCTTCTGCAGAAACCTCATCTCACCCTCACGTCTGTTCTGCATTATTTTACTGTTTTACATTCTGCCATGCATAAAGTCAAAGTATTTGTTTGTATGAACTAAAGCTTTGTTTACTAACTCTTCCACACTGAAAAGCTGGTGATATGTTATGACAGCCTTTTTTCCTTTTTCCTCTACACTTTAATTTTTCATTTGGAATTAAAAGACAACATTGAATTTTTTTAAATTCCAGAGGATGCAACTAAAGCTCAGTTGCACGGTTTATGGAAGACAATGAAATTAAGGAATGCAGCATGTTCAGGTGACCCCAGCATACTGCAGCTCTGTGTTACCTTTAATAGTTATATTTTCTAAGATTTAAAAAAAAAAACATTTGTTTCATGAATATGTTTCTTCACCAAAACCATAAATGGAGCTTAAAGCCTAAAATATAATAGCTAGCAGAATTGGTAAATATTCAAAAAATCTATCTTATATCACCTACATAAGTGGTTTAACTCAGAGAGAGATTGAGCATCCATTCTAGCAGGGGAACAGGTAAATGCACTATTGTTCAAATTATCCTACATTAAAAGATGACTGTCACACATGAATGCGCTGATTCCATAGGGACTGTGATACATATGGCAGAGTATCCTGGATTTTGTTCTCTAGCAGCCACAGAGGGAAACACTGCTTGAAGATCCCCAAGAGCTAGGAGAAATTCCACCCTAGCAAGGTTCTCTCTGCTTGTGTCAACATGTGGGAAGTTGTAAGTGGTATAAACACTATACTGCTACATTAGTCTTTACAGCAGTGTATTTTCTACTCTGTGTTGTCTTCTTTACTAAAAAATCCTTCCCTTCAGCGTTAGATGAAATGCTAGGTGCTGAAAATACACTGAGAATTTTACAAGAATGTCAGAAAAAGGGTAGAAAAAATATTTAAATATTGAAGATGTGAAGATCTCTGCACATTACACAAGGCTAAACAAGCACTGTCTTATTAAAAGGTGGATTTTATGGAAAAGGTGATAATAAAAATTAAAGAACACTTTTTTAAAACAGTGAGATATAATTGAGTCAACAATGAATAGAACATACTAGTTATAGATGTTTGTCATAAACGGGATGAATTTGGTAAATCATTTGTAGTCTCCATTACTGTGCCTTCATTATCCTATTTAAAAAAAATGAAGGTAATGTTGCTAACATTTGAGACCTCTGATAAAGTAGGTGGTGCAAGAACCTAGCTTCCACTAGGGTGAAATTAGGGTAAAATTAACAAAACTTACGCTGTTGCTTCAGACTTGCACATTGTATACTGGAATTAACTGTAGTTTGGATCATAGAGGGCTGATCTGCTAACTGATCTTAAAAGTGATGTTAAAAACTATAGTGAAGAACCTGGTTTGGAGTCTCAAAAAAATGAAGATTCTGAGAACAAATCTATATGTGTTTTTTTCCTTAAGAGATGAGAAAAGACTGTTAGTGAGCTTCTTTCAAGGTAACTAATATTCTTTGCAACATTTTCAACAATATGGTATACATGAACAGAGAAGGAGAACTCAAGTTTCAAATAAAAGAACCACCAGCCTATGCATAACTGGTAGCTATCCAGCATTTTGATCGCTCACGAATCCAAAAGCATGACTGCCTTTTAAATCCACACCACTGGATTCTGTTTGCTGAAACAAAACCTGTGCGCCAAGTTCAGGGGTTTAAGTGCACTGACTTTCTTGCATTACAATTAATGTATTTCATCATAGTAAGTCAGACTCTTTCTGTTTGCTTTAGACAACACTGATTTCACAATGGGCTCCATCACCGCAGCAAATGCAGAATTTTGTTTTGATGTATTCAAAGAGCTGAAAGTCCACCATGCCAACGACAACATCTTTTATTCCCCCCTGAGCATCATTTCAGCCCTGGCCATGGTCTATCTGGGAGCAAGAGGTAACACTCAATCTGAGATGGAGCAGGTAAGTTACTTACATAGGTGTAAAGTGACCTCTGCTTGTGCTTGTGGTTCCTTCTAAGTGACATCACTGAAATATACTATCCACTGATGAGGTTCTCACCTGTTTTAATGCACAAGAAATAAACCAAAGTCACAAAATGGAGAACTGGATCGAGAGTTATTTAGAGAAAATACTAAAAAAAAGATGTATATTTTCACTATAAGGCGCAATTAGTTTTGACTTAGACAAAAAAAAGTCTCAAGGACAATAACAAAATGGATTACCAGTCAGCAAATTTTATTATATGATTTGTTTTCTAAATTCTGACATCTTCCAGATAATGTGATCAGATTTTTTTTTTTACTATATAAAAAAGATAAAGCCCAGGAAGAGAGGCAGACAGAATATTATTAGCAGTACATAATATGTAACTCAGTTAATTTCTAGACATTCACTGGAAAAAATATCATCTAAGCAAAGAGTGGTATTTACAGTTTCCAAGAAGACCAAGGGGGCATAAACCAGTTGCAAGCTCACTTGTAAATTTTTAGTTCATCTATGTTCTCAGTTAGCACTTTTTCTTTTCTGAGCCAACAGCTTTACCTCAAGCATTGTGTGTAAATCTCAAATTCACATCATTTTTGGTCATGCTTGTCATTTCTACCACTGGCATTTTCTCTTGCAGGTTCTTCACTTTGATAACGTTACAGGAGTTGGAGACACTACTGACTCCCAGGTAGAGAAATAACTCGATCTCCTTTTCTGTCTTACTTTCTCCACGGAACAAAACTAGAACTGTTCTGCCTCTCCTCCTGGAAGTTTCAGACCCTGTCAAAAACTATGGTAATGCTCTCAAACCAAGGAGACCTGTGGAGGGAAGGTAGGAGGATGTAACTCACCTATTTGTTAAAAACCAGGGAAAGAAGGCAGGTTGCACATCTTGCACCAGAACAAGTGACGGTGTGGGGCAGGATGCTTTGGGCACCAGGGTGCCTTCCTGGGCAAGTGCTGCTGGGGGACAGAATGTGAAAAGGGCTCAGCACCTGGAGTCAGGGCACAGCAGTCAGAGCTGCAGCTGAAAGACTCCAAAGCAGGGCAGAGAAGAGCCCAGAAGTCTCAGTGACAGGAACACAACTGCACTCTTACAACAAGCACATTTCAGGGGACTTATCTTGAGAAGGATGAACTTGTCTGTTCAATGCAGCATCACCACAGCACCTGCTGTCCCAAAGGTGACAGCCCTATGTCAGTGGGGGAGGACTCCACTGCAGCATGACTCTTAACTGATAGGGACAATTCTTCAGGGTTCTATTTCCTAGATAAGAAGCAGCTAATGCAATGCATCTTCTTATTTTCATGTTATCACCTCAGTGTGGCACTTCTGAATACATCCACAATTCATTCAACGATCTTCTCTCAGATATCACCATGCCAAATGCTACATACTCACTCAAGATTGCTGACAGACTCTATATTGAAGAAACATACCCCGTTCTTCCGGTGAGTTGTACTGTAACCTGACTTCAGCGAGATTCCCTATAAAAGGCCCCCTAGAGAAGCACCACCAACAATAGCCCACTGTCTGTTGATGAAGGGGTGGTTGTGAGCCATGAGGGGAACTCGTTCAGAACCAGTTTGAACCTTCCTCTGGCTGTTAGGTGGAGTCCAGGCAAAAGTATAATGCTATAAAAGACACCCATCTTGCAACAGTCACAGGGAATAATCAAGATTGCTGTTCATTTGCTAGAAAACGGCTTTTAAAGAAAAATGTAACTTTTAAGGGAAATTAAATACATTTTATAACTTGAAAGCATGAAGACTGAATTTGTCAAATTTGGATTTTTTCAAAGCCAAATATCAAATCTTCCCAGTGAAAGGAAGCTTTGTTTTTGAAATCTAAGAATTTCTGTAAGGAATACCGTAAGAACACAGTATTAAAAATAAAAAGTGGGCACAAAGAGAAGGAAATAAACATGGTCTATCCTTAAAAGTGTTTGTTAAACTGAAAATGTTTTGGTAAAATGAAGAAAATATTTCAAAATTTTAACTTAGAACCCTATGTGAAAAAAAAGTGTGGGACCTAAATATGCCTTGTCCAGCTTTAAGATTCAGTTACAGAAAGACAGCTGTGACTGTCATGTTCAAACACAAGGGTAAAAGTTCACTGTTCTTTTAACCATTCTGCTTCATTTCACGATCTTGCAGTTCACATTCATACATTTTCAAGTTCTCATCAGTCTGACAATTGCAATCCTTCTGCTTACAGGAATACTTAAAGTGTGCGAAGAGATTCTACAAAGCAGGGCTGGAAGAAGTTAACTTCAAAACAGCTACAGAGGAAGCAAGACAGCTCATTAATACCTGGGTGGAGAAAGAGACAAATGGTAGGGACTGAAAAATGGGTAGCAGAAATTTTCCCCTACCTACCATAATCCATACCCTTGCCTTCCTCTCCTCATAATGTCTAGAAAAAGTGGGTCAAGCAAGAGTGGGTTGCTTGTTGCTGTGAAAACAAAACTCCACAAAGCAGCACCCTCCACCCCCATGCCCTTCATTGCTGGCAGTTGTGCACACTGGACAAGGTGTATCTTACCACTCTCTGCCCTGCTTCTTTCTAAAAGGACAGATCCAAGATTTCCTTGCCTCAGGCTCTGTTGATCTCGATACCATGCTGGTCCTTGTGAATGCCATTTACTTCAAAGGGATATGGAAGATGGCGTTTAAAGAAGAACACACTCGGGAAGTGCCCTTCAATGTGACAGAGGTAGGAGGGCAGGGACACAGCTTCTGGCCAGGACGGTTGTTGGCTCACACAGCCAGCAGCCTGGGTGTTACATATACAGCCTGTTGCTGTCACAGGTCGGGTGATTTAGCTGGGCCCCTCACTGTCAGCGCCTGGGCCTAAGGCCAAGAAGCGTTTGCAAGTGCTGTGTCTGACCAGGCTTCCAGAGCACACCAGCAGGCAAGAGAGGAAAATGGAGACACAGCTCTCCCTCAAAGGCAACATGCTTGAAGATCGAGTCCTGACCCTTTCAAAGGGCTTCTACATTTGCCTGCCTAAAGAAAAAATTGCTCCCCGGTCACATCATCTCACGTTTCTGTTTTTGCAGCAAGAAAGCAGGCCTGTGCAAATGATGTGTCAGAACAGTACCTTCAAAGTGGCAGCGGTGGCTGCAGAGAAAATGAAGATCCTGGAGCTTCCGTACGCCAGCGGGGAGCTGAGCATGTTGGTGCTGTTGCCTGATGATGTCTCTGGCCTGGAGCAGGTATGGCCCTGGCAGGGGAAGCAGAAGAGTTACCACTTCAGTGGGACTTGGCTGCCCTCAGGCCTTTTGCTGTCCCTTTACATCCCAGCTGCCCACACCAAGGCTGCGGTGCGCAGACAGAGGAGCACGAAACCCCCCCAGGTGCTACCAGGTGCTCAGGCAGAGACTGGCCTCTTACGAGAGCCCGGGACTCAGGCTAATAAAATGAAGCTAAAGGAGCATAGTGCTGCTGTAGCCCTGCAGAAGAGGACGTTGCTATATGCAGCGATCTTTATAGGTACCAGAAACAGACATGTTAGCAGGATTTTTTTTTTTTTTTTTCATTTTGAGTGATTTCAATCTTCTAGGAGACCACTCAATGGTTTGCTAAACAAGAAAAGTTTATTCAAGGAGAAATAAAAAAGGAAGTGATGAGGAAAGCATTCCAAGAGCTGACTAACAGCAAAATGAGAAAAGTAGCATTAAAAGGACCTAAGATGAGGGAAGGGATCAATAAAATATGCTCCAGGAGGAACAGTTTTGGGGCCAGTTTGTGATGTTTTCAAGAACTGTATTTTCACAAAAAAAGCCTTGATCTGATAAAGAAATTTTCAGATGACTAAGTTTTGGAGAACTTCATCAAGACAATGAGCTATAGGCTGTAGTCAGGAGGAAGCATACAGGATAAACAAACATATTTAAGATTAAGTATCAGTTCTATTGTGTACACAAAGTAAATGAAAAAAAATAGTAACAAGTGGTATTAACACAGCTGTTAAGGCCATTGCACTCATCTCAGCCATTTCATTCCCTGCCTCTCTTTGCAGCTTGAGAATAAAATCAGCTTTGAAAAACTTACGGAGTGGACCAGTCCCAATGTGATGGAAAAGAAGAGAGTGAAAGTGTACCTCCCGCGCATGAAGATTGAGGAAAAATATAACCTCACATCTGTCTTAATGGCCTTGGGTATGACCGACCTGTTCAGTCCTTCAGCCAATCTGTCTGGCATCTCTTCAGCAGAGAGCCTGAAGATAACTGAGGCCATCCATGAGGCATACATGGAAGTCAACGAAAAGGGCACCGAGATGGCAGGCTCAGCGGTGGTGATGGGAGACATCAAACATTCGTCTGAATTTGAAGAGTTTAGGGCTGACCACCCTTTCCTTTTCTTGATCAAACACAATCCAACCAACAGCATCCTCTTCTTTGGTAGATATTGTTCCCCTTAAGAAGAAAAAGAGCTGGCAATAATGCTTGCCTTCCCTCAGAAACAGATCTCCCTTACTGTAGTATTGTAGTATAATCTCATCTCTTCAATATTTTCTCCAAGTGGAAAGCCTTCAATATCTAGGGAGATATTCTTGAAGAAGCAGATCTTTAGGTGCAGGTATTTCTGCTCACACAACTTGTATTCAGGACTTATATCTAAGATTGAATGAGAATTTCAGGAGGTAGCTTAGGAATATTTCCCATTGAATAACTTGAGAGACAGGGCCAGTATTTTGATTTTTGTGAGAAATCCTGCTACTGCTATTGAGAAACTGGTTTCTCTATAAGAGTTCTGTGAAATAAACACAACTTTCAGAATAATCCTGGTCCTTTCCGTTGAGCTTGCTGGGCTACCATCCTGGAATTGATGCTTGGACAACTTGCAGATGAAATTCTAAACTTCAGCAAAACATTCTTCTTCCAGGAATGCATTTGGGCTTCTTTGTGCTGCATGTACTATAAGGCTGTGTCTCTTGTTCTGAGGGAGCTTACAGAAAGTCTACCATTTCTTTATAAATCATCATCTCCAAATACATCTTCCTGACTGATATAATTTCCTGTCTTTATTCCAGTGACATATTATTGATTTATGAATGTTAATTGGTGGTCCTCCTATTTATTCTAATAAAAGCATTGCAAACTATACACGTCATTATCTATTCTGGGTTACCACACCACACAACCTGAAACACGATACAGTGGGTAGTGATCTTGACACAAGTGGATTTGGACCCTATTTTCAAAACCAGAATGTACCCGTACACGAAGTCACTAAACAGTTTAAGAATGTTTTTAAAAATTTTGAGCTTAAGCAAGGTAAACCCTACAGCTTCTATACTTACCTTGAGCTTATCTCCATATAGCATATCAAACAACTAAATTATCTGAATTTGTCATTGTATTTCCAGATAGTTTTAAAAGATTTCCTGTAAATAAATATATCAAGCTGATGCCTAAGAGATATAACTTCCAAAACATGAGAAGAGTGTTTGTCTTAAAAGGTGAACTGCTTCAGCTCTCTCATACCCACAAGAATCATAAGAGGAAATCTTTCTTGTTGCCTCTTGATGTGATAATCCTCTAGAGATGCTATTTCCTGTTTCACAATCTTTAGAGGGAAGGTTCTTTAGGTCACAGTTCATCTAATTAAAAAGATTATTAGTGTTAATTGCTGAGTTAAGCAATCTCCCTTCTTCTGGGATACACATGCAGAACTGCAAATCACAGTATCAGTACTTAAAAAGTGTTAAAAAAAGGAGACACATGACGGTATTTGGAGCTGCCTCAACCATTTGCAAAGTCAGCATTAAATATAACTTGAAATGATGATGCTGGCAGCAGGGAAACAGATTTTCATACCCCCTATGAAGTCTATGGGAGAACTGCAAATACTGGTCATCCCAAGATAGTCATAAAGGATTAGCTACAGTTTACACAACTATTCAAGCAAAAAGGTATTTCAAGAGATATGACATTTCAAGGTTTACTGTGTACATTATATTCTGCTTCCTTATAGCCAAAAGCAGTCAACAGAGTTTTGCTTCAACTAAAAAAAAAAGAAAAATAAAAAGAAAAAGGCAGGATTTCTAAGACATCCTAAGGAGCAGAATGTGTAAGGTTATTAAGCAATTATAAAACTGTTATTAACCTGAAATAACCATGTCTGTCACTCTGCACTTTCTAGGTACAATAATAGTAAAACTATTAACATTTATTATGGAAGTATTTATTACATAACGTGAAGAAAATAGCTGTTCTATTGCTTAACCTTTCTTCTGCTTGACGATTATTTTAAAGTGAAGAAGTGGAGAAAATCAAGGCAGAAATGGTAAGCAGCTTCCTAAAACTATACATGAGAGAGGTTTTCAAGGCACAGAGACCACCTAATGTCCTCACTGTGAAACAAAAGCATTTGATTCTTGTTTTAAACTAGTCCTTCAGGTGTCACTAGGGATACGAAGTGATGTCTACCAGTCTTCTGAAAGACAGACATCTGTTGAAAACTAGGTTTGGGAGCTTAATGTAGTTCCAATTTTGTTCTTATTTTAATTTTTGTGCAAGCAGACGATTCTGATGGATATACTGAAAATGTAGACCAGTGGCACTGTGCTTGGAATCCAGTAATTTTTTAAGAAAAAGACAGAAATATTATTTGGTGAAAGTCCAGAGGCATTTTAAGATATCTGTGCCCTGAATGAAAAAATAGTATCACAGTCAAACACTGTAGAAGGGATAGAGCTATTTGGTTTATGAAGGAGAAAACGTCCTCTCTAGAGGCTAAAATAAGAAGTAGAAGTGGAGATTCAACAAAGTTCAATAGAATCTATACCCCCTGTATCGATGGCTGGGCCCAGAACTGTGCCTGTGCATTGCTGGTCTGAGCCAGCAGACCTGCTGTAAAGGAGCTGCCATGGGGAATATGGCTGCTGCAGCCCCCAAGAGAAGCAATTCTGCAAAGAGCAGCATGGAGGGTGTTACAAAGGGATGAGGGAAGAGCAGCCCTGAGGGGAGCAAACACTACCTGCTGTTTCTGAGATATGAAGTCCAGCAAGAGTTTAAAAACATGAATCCCAGTTTCCACGAAGTCTAGGTATTGTCCAATAGCCCTTTTTGTTCCCTTGCAGCATGACTTGGTATGTCAATAAATTGCCATCTGTCCATCTGCTACACTCCATTTTCACTATGTGCTGTGTTGTTTTGGATACACAGTACTGCTAGGGGTCTGTGGAACAAAAACAGCCACATGCAATCGTATTCTTTTTAACGCTGCATAGGACAGCATTAGAAGTGCTCTGTGGACTAAGTGTGCTTTTCCTTCTCATGTCATTCGGGGAAGGGTTGGAGCTGACATATCTTCTCTGTCCTTTAGGGAATATGATTGTCTGAGACCATTCCACACTTCTCTGCACATTTGACTTGCAAGAAAGGCCTACCTTCTCCTAAGCAAACCAAATCCACGGCTGAAGGCACAAGACTTTGCAGGCAGTATGCTCTAATTATAGTCACCAGAGGAAGAGTACTCAGAGAACCTTCCGGACTCCTGGGCAAAAGCTGTCCTGGGCTCCCAAATGATATTTGAGAAAGCACAGCATGCTGAATCAAACTGAAAGCTACGTATTGACTGGGAAGGATTTGACTTGGAGCAGTGGTTCAGTTTTCTGTTTCTTGTGCCTAGTGAGCTAAGATTCTTCAATCTGGAAAAGAGACAGTAGAGAGGGGATTATCAAGGAGCGGCAGGGGTGAGGCTGCTCTGCAAGGGAAGGGGACCCAGGGCAGCAGGTGACAGCAAGGCCAGTAGGGCAGGTGCCTCCCCGATAAGGTGTTCAGTGCTACAGTTCCCAATGCTACCGCCACACTCCAGTGATTCCCAAACAAGCCTGTAGTGATGAGATAGGTCAAATATCAAGCCTGGAGGTTAAGTCCATGGGCCAGGGTCTGTAGTGGTCCTAACCTGAAGAGTGTTGTACACTGAGGAGTTAGTGGCCCACATAAAAGTTGACCTGATCAGGCACATGCATGTGCTGTGCTGTGCTGTGCTGTGTTATGCTGTACATATCATTTGGCCTCCAGGCCTATACTGTGCTGAATGTATCACGTGGCTGCAGGATAAACTTAGCCTGCTAATCATAATGGAGGAGCTTGCAGATGGCCCTGGACTGGCACTTGGTGCTGATGCTGCCAGCACATCCTTGTCTTTATCTTGAAGTGAAGCAGCATGTTTCTATATAAATATACTTTTCTTCAACACTGCAAATGATAAACAGTTGTTTACTTCTAAGAACATACCTACAAAAGCTGTAAAGATCACACCACCAGTTAACCTCTGCATGCATGGGATAAGCACAGTGTGCTGTGCCCTGAATAAAGATCCATCCAATGCCACACAGCTTGGGGTTCCCACCATCTGAAGGGACATGAAATTATCTATGCTATCTCCTTTTTCCCTCTCGTGTAATCTCCAATAAATTGCATTTTAATCAGTTTCTTACTAGTGTCCAAAATGAACGCTTGCAGTGGTGCATTACAGGATCCAGTTTGGTGAGGTTCATGGCCACGCACAGGCATGCAAGGTAGCAAAGAACTCAGTTTAAATGCTTCTCTCAAGTGAGGGAGATGTAGACCCCCATGGGAGTAGCTCACAGCTCTTTCACAAACAGTGCTCTGATTCAAGGCTGGACAGTTGCTTCAGATGTGCCTGAGCGCAGGCAGCCAAACTCCTAGGAGAGGGATGATGTTCTCAAGAGCAGAGGTTTCTGAAGTCCTGGATGATATGGAGAAAATGACAGAGATTGACTATTCATTATCTTTTCTGACACAGGAACTTAAGGGTATTAAAAGAAGTTAGTAGAAAGCAGTTTAAAAAAAACCACATAGAGGTAGCTGACAACAAACAGGTAGCTGAATGATGGACCTCATGGTCAAAGGATGCTGGAAACAATAAAATTTTACATGATTTTAAAGGGAGACTTGACAAAACCATGGAAGAGAAATCCATTGAGAGGTAATAAATATATAGAAAATACTACCAGCTATTGAAGTCCCAGCCAATGTTAGGACCCTGATGGCATGACCAGCCTCAGCAGGAGCCTTCACCCACACCCTCTGTGCATGGGCCCAGGAGCCTGTATTGGGCACTGGCACCATTTTGGTACTAGGGAGATCTTTGTGAGAGGAGGACATGAACTGTCCTTGGCCAGTCACAGCCAGTTGCAGCTGGCCCTGTAATGGATGAAAAGAACTCATTGTATGCCAAATCTTCAGACAGTTAGAGGAGCATATGGCATCTCTGCTCAAGCATAATTAAGAAAGGGTGGCAGAAGAAATGTGAGAGATGTGTTTGGAGAAACAAAACAGAGGAGACACATGGGAAGAGATGTTATTGAGAGCACAGCTGAAGCCACACTCTTGGGAGGAGGTGCTCCATGCCAGAGGAGGCACCTCTGAGGGACTGCAGCCACAG